ATGTCATTCATTAATCTACTCAGCATCTCACTGTCACTCAGTCATTAGCTCTCTTGAACACATTCACTTTTAGGTATCTCCAACAAAAGTCACATGGGGCTAGTTGGTGGTCACAACAAACCTGTTAATGCATGGATGATGTTTGAAATGACATGCTCAATAAATTTGAGTTTTTTGCCATGTTGGTAAGTGAATGAGTTTGGATTGCCAACTGTGCAGGAAAGAAAACTTGGCAGCCTGTTCAATTAAATTGTAGGAGAGCCATTGTGATATTAGTTATATTATTTTAAAATGGTGACTAATTGACAAAAACACCCTGTATGTTGAACGGATGGCTTGTTACCCTGAATACATGAGGGATGAATGGAAAATAACAATACAAGGCCTGAGTTCTAAGCACAATTTATTTTAGATCCTGTCACACAATTACCACCCAGGTTGAGACACTTGTCCCATCAAAGAACATGCCATCTGCAAAGAATTGTAACCATTCTTGAACCATCACATAGTGAAATGCTGTCTGCTGAGGTGCTTGTTGACCCAAACCAATGGAAGTTGCTGGGCGCAAGATCAGGATTGTATGGATTTTTCCATCGCCTGTATGTTCTCATATGGCGATGTCCGTTTGCCTCAGTTTCATAATGGATTCTATGCTTTCGTTTACATGGGAGTGCGTGGGAGCTGAAGAATCATCATGTGTTTGGAAATGGAAGGGTAAAGATGAAGATTTCCCAAAGTTCAAGGCACATATTCTGGCCCTGCCTTTGCCGTGGACGTTATGGAGCATTTAAACGACTTCAATCTGAAACTGCAAGTCAAGGGAGTGTTCGTCCAGGAACTCTACTCAACTGATGAAAACGTTCCAAGTCGAGCTACTCCCGTTTTCGAGACGTGAAGGACAGCATGTTTTCGCATTTCCCCACTTTGCATAGTATCGTCCCCTGCCCTTCAATATGACTGACAAGTACAGCAAGATGTTGAGTGGTTTACATGAGTTTTGCTGTCTTGTTTTTCGACTACAAGAAAATCAAGGAGCTCGAGCTGCTGTCTTGCCCATTTACCTTTGACTCTCCAATCTACCTCATGAGGGAAAGTTCAACTCATCACAATGAAATAAAATTCTCTAATTTGCGAGAACATGTCAAGACAATAAGAATGGACTTCGGTCCCACTTTTCGCATGTTCGCGAGCAAGCGTTCTCGTCGAACAAATCAAAGTTGAGGATAACAATGACTGAGATGTTAAATTAATTTTAATTTCAAGCTTTTGTGGCCCGCTTTTCTGTTGAGAGCGAAATATATCAGTTGAATGATTTTTATTCCGTTTCTCAAGTTTATATGAAATTTGGAGGGGGAAAAGTTCAGGAATTTTGTAAAAGAGGATTTAACCAGGTGTATCATAAATTCCCCTAAAGAAGCACGCCTTTCTAATATGCTTTTGAAGCAATTTCTGCTCGAGTCTAATTCAAAGTCATTACTGTTAAAATAGATTGTATTGATGGAGCCGATTGGGGATAAGGGGTTCCGTGGAAAAAAATCCTTACGCCTGCCGAAGGAGACGTTTTTTCCTTTGTCAAAGTTCTCATTTGAATCACCACTATCTCATCGAGGGAGAGGGCTATCCTCTCTTAAATCGACGACACTCCGTAGACGCCGTGTCGAACGGGCTGTCGGAAAAACCAGCGATTCCACTACGGCTAAACCATTGGTATAAATGTGTTACACGATGGAGACACAGGCAGCACTTTTCGATATCGGAAAGAGCTCGCCAGCCTGCCGTTCAGTGTTCAGGCCCGTTTTGAGTTATCCGACTGCAGTGCATAGTAAGAGGGGGGTGAATGAATTCACCCCCCTCTTACTATGGGCTCCTATGACTCGCCATGCTTTTCTATTACGCATCTGCGGATGCTGTCAACTGCTACTAGCAACTAATCAAGGTAGATTTCGCCCACGTCGCTATGTCCTACATTCTAAGCGGTAGGGAAAGTGTATTCATCCATTCTGAGTGTTCCATTTAAATCTCGCTTAGTCTTCCAACAAAATAAATCGTATTAATTTATGAAAGACTCTTTTTGGGAGATAGGGGCTTGTCACTTTCTCTCATTCATTTTGATCACATCAATAATACCCATTGACTAATGAAGGAATTTCATAATCATTATTTAGACTCAGAGGAGGGAAAATACAACTACTCTGAGTAGTGTGTCCAATAAGAAGCATTTTCAACTTTTCTCCTCCTAGGTCTCCTAAAAGAAAAGAAAAGAAAGCTTCCGTGAAAACCAAGGTTAGGGAGAAGATTCAGAAAGGATTAAAAAATTACAATTTCGTGTAACTCATCTTCGGATTTCCGGAATATTGAGAAATGTTTATGTACAGTTTGCGAAGCTTGAAGTTTGAAGCTCCTTCAAGGTATCATTCTGGTCCATGGTAGTTGGGTACCTTGCTGGGATCGCAAATGCAGATAGTTTAGCTGTTTATGGGATGAAAAACAGCTCCATTCACTCCATTCTCAAAGCCAGCAGCGCCACCGCCCACTGCAGGGGGGTGAATTCATTCGATAAGCACTGTACTACTGCGGGGTTCACTAGTAGAGAGGGTTCAGCGAATATTCATATATTCGAGCCTCTTTCAAGCCTTCAGATTTTTGCGGTATCACAAGTCAATCACTGTTTGACCAGTACGAGAAAATGACTATTTTCCGCGGCCATTCCTAAACCCTGAGTTACGTGTGACAGGGAAGGAAACGCAAGTCTTCCAGCTAATGCTCCTGGTCTGGCACTAAGCACGGGTCAAATTCGTTCAATTCCTTCGTTGCGAGTTCATAAAAAAAAAATTGAAATAAAATATGCTGCCCTGTAGAATCTTCAATATAGTTTTGTTTGTTTAATGAAATAAAGACGAGACGGTTTTCGAGACAAGGTAGCTATTGTTCGACCTTGCATTTTCATGAAAACACTCTGGCAAGTTGATCCATTTTCCGATAGAAATAGCCTTACCATTCAGGAGGATTTAGGTGGGGACACCTACTACTTCCCACTAGAAAATTAACCTGGGTTCGGGAGACGCCGAATTACGGTCGCAGTGCATTCGATGTGTGGATTGGAGACGAGACATACCAAGAATATTTGCTTATTTCGATACCACAGGTGCATACCTCGAGGGTTCAGGCGCCGTCTATAGATCCTACCCATAAACACATGGCTGCTTACCCTGGTAAGGTCCGCACTACCCTAACGTTTTATCACTTGCTCCTGCAGTTGTCCGGTCGTTCTCTATCACTAACATACGTAATTCGATCAAAAACAAGTTTGATGTATTCCCACTTCCGCTCCACATGATCATGGAGATAAGCATGCGCGTGGCGTGGCGTGGAAGACGTCATGGAATCAGGACCTCTGTCAGATGATTTCTCGTACTCACCGTTCTAGCGTCATCATGCAACATCTATAAAAGTCAACATCTATAAGAAAACTTTCTGCATCATCACTAGTTAATCGATGAGAAAAAAATGCTTTAATAGCAACTTATGGAAGAGCTAGGAAACAAACACCAATCAATAGCAATATCTTCATCCTAATGAACAGGACAATAGAGAAGACTTACCCTTAGTAGAAGATGTGGAAGTCTGTGGAATCCGACACAGGACTGGCTAAGGAAGTGCATTCCTTGGCTTTTTATACTCTCGAAGGGGCCTTGGGGGAGGGGAAGGGGCTCGACCTCCCCTCTTCCCTTCCCTTCCCCTTCCTTTCCCTCTTTCCCTTCTCCCTCCAGATGCTTATCTGCGATCTGGCCATCTCTGTCTCGATTGGGTTGGCTGTTGAGTGGTTCATTCTTTTCCTCTGATTTGGTGAGGGCGATTCCCGCGGATCTGAGTGCGTGAAGGACTCAAACGCACTTTCCAGACCCTCTATCGCTTTCAAGGTGAAAATAGTTCATGAATCTCGTCCGCCGACCGGTTTAGAGGAAGAGATGACGTCATCAATCATGACGTGAACAGGCGCAAATCTTCTTGGCCTGGCTCCGCAAACTCATTTTTGCATAAATTCACGCTTCTCACGATCCCATCCCATGTTAGATCCTCATAGTTTGATGTCAGTTGAAGCACCAGCTCAGTGGGAACGAACCGGAACGGGCAGGAAATATATTGTAGACAATTATTACTAAAAGACAATTATTATAAGGAATCCGTATTCGGAAGCGATTGAAAAATGTAACCGGTAAACTAAGGATTTTGAGTGTTTCATACCTAAAAAAAAAACTGAATCTAAAGGACGCATTTGCGACCAAATAATGAAAACGTGAAATTTAGTTCTGGTCTCATGCGAATTCCACATTTTATTCCTTTTCCCTGACGATTCAGCTGGAATTTCCAGCGGAGCCAGCTCATCCCGATGAAAAATAAGGACAGAATCCCACCGAGAAGTAATTGACAGAGCCCCATCCGCCCCGAGTTTTACTGGTTTCAAACGGATCAAAATGGAACGAAACTTGCCTGCAAGTTTTCGACCGGGCAAACGGCTTCAAGCAACGACCGATTTCCTCGCAAAATTCCTGGGAATTTCCACGAATCACAATTGAAAACTAGCTCGGCTCCAAGAAACGATGAATTGATGATCTGGCTCCAGAACTCATCGTGGAAATACGTCGTTTCCGTGTTTAAAAAAAAAAAAAACAAACAAACAAAAACAAAACAAAACAACATTCGGTCGTGCATGCGTGGCATTTACAAGACATTTCATCGCATACTTCCCATCATTTATACCCTTAATGCGCCTTAACGCCCTTTGAGGGGTATTCACCTTTCTTTCGAGAAGATTCCCGATCTAGAAGAAAAACATCGGGCGTTCTCGAAAAGCTAGGTGTCCTTGAATCTTGGCAGTGCAACCGTTCTTCATCCGACGCAACCCTTGCACCAGACCAACACCGAATTTTTTTCTCTGGCCGTTTTCCTGATCCTTCAGTGAACGAGAAAACTTTCGAGGAAACTTTCCTTTTATTGCACGAACAACATGACTAGCATTGACATACGAGATCGACGAAATTCATAACACAGCATGATATAAAACATTCCCAGATCCTCCTCTCTAAGAAGAAAACTCCCAGTACCCATCAAGTACCAGCAAGTACTCACTCATCGTGTCCCCGCTCCCGCTCCTGATGGACAAAGGAGAGCGCAGCGAATGCGGCCCTGCAGTTAGGATTCACGCCCAGGTTCTCCCAGTTGATCCACGTCAGCCGAGCCGTCAAATCTGTTCGGACAAAACAGCCGCATGGAAGTCTAAAAATCAATATCGGTAGAAATATTAACGATTTAGGAAAACCGTGCATTTGGAAAAGTCACGCAAGATGCGCGATTAATGGCCTCCGCTTCACTTCATGAAATCGAATATGCCCATCGAATCGAATATGCCCATCGAATCGAATATGCCCATCGAATCGAATATGCCCATCGAATCGAATATGCCCATCGAATATTGGCTCGGTCTGTTCCGCAGTGCAATCTTCAGTTTTCAGGGTTTTTTTTTTATTTTGGTGAAGAACGGGATCTTCCACTCACCGCTCGTGTTCCAGTCGGCGACCCGAGAAGCCTTGACCTCGCCTCGAAGGCATTTCGCCACGAACGTGACCGGGTTCATCTCGGACGAGAGGATATCCTTGAGAAGCGCGATGTAGGCTATGGCGAGTCTCAGGGTGTCGATCTTGCTCAGTCGCTTCTCGTAGGGGAAGGTCGGGACGTGGACCCGCAGCTCGTCGAATGCGCTGTTGATGCTGCGGGGAATGGAGGACGAAAGAGGTTTTCGCGTTTCATTTCTCTCTCTCCGTTGAGATCATGAGAAGCGGGCGATTGTCTCCGGGTTTTCTCTCTTCTCACGATACAGTGAGGTGACGATGAGGAAAAAATACTGACGTGGTACAATACCTGAGCATCCGTTTTCTTTCCCTTATGTTGGCCGCGAATCGTTGAACTCGATAGGGACTTCCCAGCGGATAGAGACGGTCGTCTTCCCCTCCTCCTCCTCCCATCCCCTCGCAGCATCCATCCTCCCCTAAACGACGAAGATCACAACGACCGTCAGTGCTTCTCATCGCCTCATCCGATCCGATTTCATCTTGTCGTGGCGTCTCGCGTCGAAGGGCTATTTTTTTTTGCCGACAGCTACAAGCTAACCTCGTCACTTTATGCAATGAATAACGACTCGCACTTGCAAGTCAATGCGGAGACTCCTGACTCCGAGAGTGAGGAACCCCGTAACCCTCCGGAGTGAAAAAAGGAACTTTCATGCATGAAAAGCGATCACAAAATTGCTTGAACCCCTTCTCTTCGTAATGGAGAAAACATCTGACCTCGAGCGCTACCTCTACTTATTGCGTAGTTTTCCAGGAGTCCTGACGGCTGCGTCAAATTGCGCGACAATTTGCGGGTTTTTTTTTTTTGCTTGACGCGAGATTCAATACTTACCCTCTATGCGCCTTACATGGCCTACTTACTTACCTACATAGACTAGACTGTCCCTTAGAATAAAATACTGGGCTTGAAAATACAGCCTAGGAGGTCGTCCCGAGTATACTCGGGCGTTGGATTTAACGTGTTAATTTCGACATCTCCATCAATTGAGAATGTTTTCGATGAAATCTTTCTCTGTTTTCATAATATGAGAGCGTCCTTTAACTCATTCATAGAGAATTATCGTGAGAGGAATGGGATCGGTGAACGGGTTAAAGGAAGCCTATTAGACTCTCGAACAAAAAATATTAAGCTCCTTCATTTATGAACGCGGTTCTTAATCACCCTTCACCTCATTTCACTATTTTCCCCTTATTTAAAATCCACATAGAAAAAATGCAATGTTCATGCGTAATTAGTAGGCAGGAAACGTCGGCGTAATTTATTGAGGCCCTCAGAATCAAATGCTATTAAAAAATTAATTAAATTCTAACCCTTCAACTTAGAAAAATGTCTGATTCTTCGAAAATCGAAAAGCACTTCAAATATATATTTTTTTATTAAAAAAAAACGAATTGCAGACTCACCAGAATGAGGATACGGAATGTGCGGATGCATATAGAACTCCGGATGTTCACCGGGAAGCGGATGAAGCGAAAAAGAAGAACCCGGGACCCCACTCGACGACATCCTCACCGTCTCCCGCTACCCCTCTCGTGTCTTTGACAGGAGCCTAAAAGCCCCCGCCGGGATGCCTATGTCACGGTGATACCTCCCCCTCGGGTCATTATGCTGTCACATCCAGGAAAGGGGCGGGTCCTCCCTCCGCCAATCGGAGAGACCGCCTCCCCCTCCCCCCCCACAACATCGATCCCAGCCCTCAGAGCCCAGATCCCAGCCCCTTCCAATGCCTGCTCCTGACACCTCCTCATGGGTGACTTCTCCACAAGATAGATATGCTCGATTTGGTATAAGGAAGAGAAGAACTCCACGCTGTCCTCTTCCGTTATGAAAATAGACGCCGGAGTCAGGTACAGTTTCATCATGCTCTTTCGTACGATTGTGGAGGTTTTGATTGTCGAAATATCTTTGAAAGTTTAACGTCCAACCGCCTGCAGCCGCCATATTCCTATATCAAACCATAAAAAGTCAGTTCAAGCGAAATTGCTTAGTTCTGCGGACGATGACAATGGCTCTCTTGGCTTCTCCCTCCCTCAGCTTTCCCCGATCTTCGTGTGGGAAGCCGATCGAAGTTGGAGCCCCGACGTCAAAGAACCTGCCATGAAGCTGGGCATGGCAGCGGATAATCCAAGGAAAAATACGGATAATCCAAGGGATGGGATCGACGTAGTAGGAAGACTCAGCTGCCACTAGATATCACTGGGGGAGGAACACCTGGACTTCTTCCAGGGTTTTACAAAAATAAAAAAATCCGGAATGAAATCACGTCTTTAACATCTTTAATCTCAACCTGCACCTGAGATCTCCTTTTCCCAAGTTGCATACAACAAATTTGAGCAAGTGAAATTGAGGTGCGGCCCACAAGGTTGGCTTATGGGTCAATTACGAGTTATCGCTTATTACACCCGATTTAGATAGTCGCACAATTCCAATGAATTTTGAGAGGGATTCCATTCCTCCCATTCTAAGGGACATCTTGAGTACAAGAATTCGAAGAAGGCTCAATAATATCTCTGGGTGCATTCAACTGGGAATCCAAATATATTATAAATTATAAACTAAATATTAGCAGCACATTTTTTTTTATTAGACGTTTTTCCACGACAGCATTGTTCTAACTGGAGTCTGGCCATTGTAAGGGTTTTACTTTTACACTTATATAGTAATCAGCTTCTGATCACTTTTTTGAAAGTAACTTTCCCAGCGCTGATTATAAGTAAGAAAGCGCCCATCGTTATTTCTCCTCAATCACGTACCGCTATTTCGGAAAGGAACAAAAGGGAAAAAAATCTGTCATTCTTGGACTTTCCTAGCTGTCTCCTCCTCAGCCATGCCGGCTGTCTCCTCAGCCATGGCGTCCGCCTCCTCCTCGGCAACCTTTGAGCGGTTGCACTTTGGCAAATCGGCCTCTGAATATTGCATCGATCTGATTCCCATCCCCACGGTAGTTTCTTTATAATTCAAGAAGGAAACTGTTTGCCATGGAGAAAGGATAAAACCCCCTCATGACTCTATAAAGTACATTTAAACCAAACTAAGCCATTTGAAACAGTTCCTCCTAGCTCGAGATGAATATGTTACCGAACCAAAGACGTGACCATAATCGTTGAGCGCGATTTCCAAATATCGGGCCTCAGTAAATTGCCGTATTGGGAAATGGAAAATTTCAAGAAAGCGTAAGGAGACGGTCGCACTTGAGAAACGGAATCACATAGGAAGGAAGGGGAATGCTAAGCCACTGCTACTAAGTACTAGTAGTACTTTTTAGTAGTTCCTTACTAGATGCTACTAAAAAGTACTACTACACGGAAGGCGCATGACATGGTTGCTTTTAGTCTGGTTTAGTACAACATATTTCTTGCACTCGTTCCCTCTCCAATCGTGCCTCCAGACACCAATAACGAAGCAACTGTCTCGTACAGTTAACCCAGGACGAGCGAAATTAATGGCTCGGTCGGCTTAATTGCCCGAACATGAATGGTTTCACCCTGCTGCACGTCGGCTGCCGTCGAAGCTTAGCTAATCTTATCTCTGATCCTTGTTACTGTATATATCTAGGTTCGAACGGAGAAATTTCTGAAACTGAGATTCCCGCGAAAGAAACGATCGACATGGAATCCTCAACCCCGAGGATTCTTTTCCATAACCGGTTGAAGAATGATGCTCTAAAAAGAAAATTAGTTTCCTGAATTTTTCTTTTACAGAGCATGCATTCTTGGGCTGGCATCATGCACGGCTGGATCCATGTCACCGCTAATGGTTTCGTTCCGGAGCAGCGCGAAGGGGAGAATCGGAATCTAAATAGGCCGGTCGAGTCGCATTCTTTTCATTTTCTTTTTCTCGACTGTCCATCCGCCTCGTATGTTGCGTCCGTCCGCCTCGGATGTTGCGTCCGTCCGCCTCGGATGTTTCTTCCTCGGTTGCCCGAGGCTGGTTCGCGAGCTGACGCGTGCTCGACCCTATGCTTTTAGCTCATTGGCGTACTTTTTTTCTTTCGAGCCTCTCATGCATTCCGTCGTCTCTCATTCCGCCTCCGTCACATTATTAACGGCAAATATTTAATAACGGAAAGAATGTCACTTTTGATGCGTAATTGCCCGTTAAGTCGGCGCCAATAGGTTAAGCCACCTTTGTCGATCGCCGTCGCTTTAGGATTCCCCAATTTCTGGATTTTTAAACCCGGCGGCAATTGAAATTCCGGAATCGAAACTCGGCGGTCCCAAAGGCCTGACCCTGTATTCACACGTCATCCGGCGAGAAAAATGCCATTTTCGTCTGAACTAACTCACACTCAACTGAATTCCATCCTAAAATTTACTCTCGAGCGCCCTTTTAACTTCAAAACTGCATCTCCACGAAGCAAAACCGCGTGCAAACGACCAAAAACGTCAACGAAAACAGTCCATAAAAACCACTTCATCGTCGAAACACCCTCGATCGATAACCATTCCTCCGTTCTTGAAGCAGTAGTATGGAAACCGCCAGACGTTCCCGAGGCCCACGGCGTAACCGATGCAGGAGAAAAGAAAGTCGAGGGCGTTGGACCAGCTGCCGCGTTCGGGGGTGCCCTCGGGGGTGCCCTCAGGGGTGCCCTCGGGGGGGGCACCCTGGGGTGGTCCTGCGAGGGCAACCTCGGAGGGGGTGCCGCCGTCGTCGGAGAACGCGGGGTTCTCCACGCCCCGTTTTTTCGCGAGAGCGCTCATGACTAGTGAGGGCGGAAACGCTCCGACGCTTTTGTTTGACGATTTTCTATCAACATTATCGTTATCGGGGAAAAATTATCAAGAAAAAATTATCTGACGATACTTTGTACCTTGTGTCTCTGGCCCTTATCACGGTGGGTTCGTTGGTAAATATGGAGAGAAATCAAGGCATGATTTGTGGCAACCGCCGCTCTATTTTTAGCACTGTTAACCTTATTTTTCGTGGTACTTTGCTCGATACGGATTGAATCGGTAGTGAATCAGTACTGCGAGAAAGTACTTGGAACTGGATTGTCGGGGCAGGGACTCACCTTGTATTTCCGGTCTGTTTTGGGATGAGAGCGAGAAAATGAATGGGAAGCGAAGCTAATGAGACGAAAGGGGAGAGGACGGCCGCTTTCGTTTTTATCTTTTTTTTTCTGGGTTTCCCATGTCTATCTGTCTTCGGCGGGGCCATAATCAGTGCAGCATGAAATTGGGCGTTTAAATCCGGTCGGCGGCATGACAAATTAGAATGTC